CGATCTTGAAGGCCAAGTAGTAGGGAGGGTCGAGGATATAGTCGATGATGTTAGAGTGCTGAGTGGGCATTTAAGGGAACTTAGGATGAGGTGATAGTATTTCGAGGTGATATAGCAGGCAGACGATGTGGCGACGGAGGTGACAATCGAGGGTGATCGAGACGAGGATAGAGATGGAGGTCACCATTAATTGTGGTCGGAGGATGCATTGGAATCCTTTCTTTAGTCCATGGATGATAGGGTGGCCCTGAGGGTGGAGGAGGTGGTGGCCCCGTCAGGGATGGAAACGTTGGTCAAGGAGGTGGTGCTAACGATGACGGATGAGGGGGTCGAGGAGGTGGATAAGGGGATGGGCCCTTCGGGACGGGAGCTATGGTCGAGAAGGGGTGACGACGGGGAAGGAGGAGGAGGTGAGCGTGGAGAAGGTGGCGATCGTCAAGCGAGGTGGACAAGGGGAGGACGACCGTCATGACTGGGATGAAAAAGCGTGTTGTTGACGTGTCGGAACTGATAGTAGGCAAGAGGTTGAGAGTGCCGTCACAGTATATTATCTCTCCCTTCATGGTTGAGAGGAAGAGGAGGATGTTTGTAGATGGGACGATCCCCAACCTATTTCAGGAGGTGGACCATGTCAAATGAAAAGCATTCTAGACGGAGTGGAGAAGAATGTTGTCCGAGTTAGTATTCATGATATTAGTACTTACTCGTCTATGCTTCTTTAACATTTCTCTGTTTCTTTTTTTAGGACTTGCCTTACAATCAATACTATGATGATCTTCGATGCTTATAAGTGGTTCCACGATATCATCACTTCAGGAGCTTGGCTTGCCGACGATGTAAGTGAAGTAGTCATATTGTTATTTTTTATGACTTGTATATACTTAATTGTTTATGCAATGCAATAACTCCCTTTTGTATTTCTATTTCTTAATACATCACATTGACCTGGCCATGGACTTGTTGTGTGATCGGGTTCAAAGATATTCAGGGTCATTTGACAGTCCTGACCGAGTTATACTGAATTTAGAGATTTGACGAAGCATTGACATTGAGTACCAGTCGCTCCAACATGTCGGTAAGGAGTATACGATGCCCGACTACATACTCGAGTGGACCATAGAGATGTGGCCATGTGTTGGGGGAAAGCCATAGGAGGGTTGTATACATATGTACATACCAGTGATCATGAATCATCACTGTAAAGCCTTGGAGATTGTGTTCCCTAAGTCTATTACATATGTGTACAACCCCTATCATTCATGTTTGATACAGGGTCAGTTCGAGTAAAATCTGGAGTCCATAGCTATTTTTGTCCCTATGATGGCTTGACAGGCGGGATTGACTGTGAATGACAGATTAACCATCGTGCGGGACATGACGACGGTGAGGCAAACACTATCGTAAGTGGTTCTAAAATTTTTAAAATTTAATACTTAATTTTTTTGCTGTACGGTACTGATCTAACTCATTATTGTTAATTTGCAGGGATGATTGTACCATTTTTGCAATAAAGTACATTGATTTTTTTAATATAGCACATAAAATTGATGAAATCAACCAATTCTGGATACAGAGTTGGCGGAATAAGTTGGCGTGCGACTTATTATACTTTAATGGTGATCCATAGATTTAATATAATTATTAGTTGTAATTTTTTGTAATTACGAAATAATTTTTTGTAATTACGAAATCAACCAGTCCTGGATACAGAGTTGGCGGAATAAGTTGGTGTGCAACTTATTCTACTTTAATGGTGATCCATAGATTTAATATAATTATTAGTTATAATTTTTTGTAATTACGAAATAATTGTAAACATTGTAAATATTGATTTTTTGTAGTTACGAATTGTTTGTAAACAGTGCAATTGATGATTAAATTACGATGTCCTTAGAAATATCGTAGAATAAATGCAAACATTGTTTATTTCAGATGGACAATATTACCAAATGATCTAACTATCATTTAGAGGAATATGTCTTTTACAGTATTGGCGAGTATGCCCTACTGATTTGCACCGGCTGCACCTACGCGTTTGAGGAAATTCTTCGACAGATGGTATTCTAGACGTACTTGGACGTCTAAGACCACGCGGTTCAATGAGACGTGGCAACAATGTATTGATTGGACGAATATGGTCGGGGACTTCCCACTCAACTTCGTTTGGCAGAGGAAATATTATCTTAGCATATGCAGCTCTCCAATAATCAGTCCTGTAATAATGCAGGCACAATGTTTAAGCTGCAAATCCTCGATACATAGCAACCACGACTGGATGCTCACATGAAAAAGTCTCCAACTGAAATTTTTTACAAGTGCATATGTTATCAGTCAACTCTACCATATATGCCGTATACGGGCACATTCCACTGAGAAGCACAACTCATTTAGTGGTTCGACATTCAAGTGTCTCGCAAGTTCTGTAGCTTTGAATAGCCTTTCCTCTTGCGCTGGGGCTAGCACGCTCGTGCAATTCTGTGATTCAGCACGTCGATCATAAAACCACTGCTGCAGTTTGGTACGGATATTCTCAATCAGTGCAAGGATGGGTAATTCTCAATCCTTTCTGAATAATGCATTAAGAGATTTCGCGTTGTTTGACATCATTATGTTGTATCGACGTCCTAGAAAAAATGAGCACACCCAATGTTCAGTCCCCATTTTTCATCAGATAAACCCATGAATCGAATAATTTACTTCGTATTTCAACCATGAACTTATTATACTCTTCAACATTGTAGGCTTTAGCCGCTCTCCTGAACAATAAAACGATACCTTTGCCCCGATACCTAGTCTTCAGATTGCATTAAATATGATACATGCATTACCCATGATGCGCATCTGAAAAAACTTTAGTGATACCATTTATTAAAGGTTGTCCCCGATTGGTTATAAATGCAAAGTCCTCGACTTCCCCGATTACTTCCCTTAACTTTGAAAAGAACCACTGCATCAACAAGTCATCCTCACTATGGACTATGTCGAACGCAAGAGGGTAAATTTGGATATTGGCATCTTAACATGCAGCAATAATCAACTTACCTGGATATTTAGATTTCAGTGTTGTAACATCAACTAGAATTATGGATCGCATTGCATTTCGAAATCCCTGAATGTATTGTCCAAAAGCCATGAAGAAAAATTTGAAGCAATTCCCACCCTCCGTCTCAATAAAAAATTTCGAGTGAGGATTAATTTTCTCCATGTTATGGTAATACCTGACCAATTTAGCATAGCTTTCCTCTGCAGAGCCCATTAAATCTTCAAATGCACATTCCTTGGCCTTCTAGTAGTTTAAGACTATCTCGTACTCTCGACGGACGTCATTAATGATGTTTGATGGTCTATAAATCGTACATGGATCCTGATACTTATGCATTATCTGTCGACCAATAAATCAAGCTCGGGCTTGCCTTTGATCATTTCGACGTAATATCACTTCACAAATATATAATATCACTTCACAAATATGTTCCCGTGTGTACTTGCGAACTACAAAGCACTCATTCATGTTCATTTTCATCACTCGCAAACGCCAACAACAACTGTCGTCTACGCAAGCAATTGTCAACAACGACTTGTTCAATTTTTTCACTTTGAACTCAAAGTTGTATTTCAGCGCAATTAGGTACACAGCTTCCAACAAATCTTTTTTCATTTCAAACAGTTGCTTGACATACAAATCCTCACTATCGGAAACCACACGCGAGGAGTTAGAAGACGATCCACTCGATCCAACCCTTGAGGTCCCACCCCGCTCATGTCTCTACTGGGATGAAGCGATCAAATTCTCTTCAGTAAAAGTATTTGCATTTTCACACTCATTGTCGTGAACTACAGACGGAATTCTGTGAGTAACTGTCTCTAGAATAACCGCATCATCTTCATGAGCTATCTGGACCGTATCCCAAAAATCATTAGCATTGTGATCCCCTCTATCTGAGTCTACTTGTTCACCTTCGACGACATCCTTCCTCACTAAAGTCACGAAAACAGGAGTTGAGTGCCTATTGTTCATTTCAAGCAGATAATTTACTTCGGCATCAGAAAAAATTGCTATAGGTGGACTCAGAACTTCCTGATCATTGAATTTAAATTTCAATTCCATGTCATACTGAGAGAGATCGACATTTAGCTTGTTCTATAAAACATTATAGAGTTTTGCATACGTTATTTTTTCTATTATGGAAATTGGGATACCACTACGTTTATCGCTCGTCCATTTCCATACCCATTGAACTTTTTCGTCCAATTCGAAAACAGCAAAGTATCAAACTGAGACTACAACCATACCTGCATGACGAAAAAGAATTTTTAATTGCAAGAAAAATATCGAAGGCAATAAAAAAAGCAAAAAAACAGCTGGCTGAAACAACCGGCTGCCGGTTGTTATTTTTGGCTATCCAATCGACTTTTTTCAACAGTTAACTGGACAATTGACAGTTCAAATTCGACTGTCCGACAGAATAAACACACCAAACTTTTGCAGATTAATTTTTCAGTATATGCAGATGAAATTTTCCTTGTCAAATGCTTAAATTTTTCACAGATCTATTAAAAAAAACTATCTACATTAACATTATATGTCAAAATAAATTTTATCTATTAAAACGTAAAATAATTTATCGAAAATAAAATTAAATGTGTGTATTATAAACTTATTGATCTGATGAGATTGATATAAAAAAAATTTCAGCTACCGCATTCGATGAATATTTTAGATCTTGAGGTTGAAGCAGATGAAAGATGAGAGTATTTTTATCTATGTTGGAGTAAACAGATATGAGAAATTTGCTGATTTTGATATTTTAAGTGGAAAGTGTTTGATTTTTATTTGTTAACTAAAGGGTAATAATATCTTTTAAACAAAACCATCTTTTGTAATTGTATAATACACTTAAGGATATTTTTATCTTTTATTACTCAATAGACCGTTGTGATAATATTAATGATTGAACAAGTCAAAGTGGAATTTCCTTCTTTGACTATTCTATTTTTAAAAGTACCCCGAAATTGAAACCACCAAATTCCCAAATCCACTCTCTCAGCTTCTCAATCTCCAACTCTTCGATGGGCACTCCCAAATCTCATCCTTGAATATGGAGTCTATATCCTTAAATTGAAGGTCCCTATATATTTTTATGCAAAATACATCTACTCGTCCCTGAAGGTCTATATCCTTAATGGTCTCGTAGCTTGCGCTTCCGGCCTCTCGTCTACTAATGCGGTCCCTATATATTTTTATGCAAAAAAAAATTATTTTGCCTCTGTTTAAACACTTATTTTCTGAATATTTGAGCATATATTTAATTGTGTGGGTAATGTGTTTGACTTAATGACTTTGAGCAGAGTTGTTATTACTCATTCCTTCCAAATGCCAATGTTGTCTTTAATTGTATTTTTTGATTTAGTGTTTTTCGATTTAGGGATTCTAGTATTTTTATTTAGGAATTTAGGGATTTTTGATTTAGGACTTTCTAATTAATATGTAATTGATTATGGAAGATTGAAACTTTTTGATTAATATTTTTAAAATTTCTTGTGATATTTTTTAGCACTTTTTTGAAAGTTTAATTATGACCTCATAACCCAATATGTCTGTGTTCATCCCTAGATTTCAAGGCAGAATTTTGAAAGCAATACCAAATCATATTTTCAGGATCTACATGGAAAGAAGAATTGACTGAACTAAAATTTCTTCACAGTCCCTATGTTCATAGTTGACTGTCCTCAACCTCAAAGCGTTGAGTCTCTCTGATTCGAGATACTTACTCATGACTATCAATCACTTTCATGCTGGAAGAATATACTAATATTCAGTAATATTGTATCATATATTTTGTTTTCATTCTCTTTTGCAGTTTCTTGTTTTGTGGGCACAGATTGATGTTGAGAACTAATAGAGTTTGATCAAGTGAATATGCTATTTTGCATCTTTCTGTTTTGTGTTTTGCTATTACCATCTGCTGACGTCTTAACATTTTGTGACTTCCATGCCAATTGTTAACCGACGACTTGGGTTGTTCATGCACAAATTGATGAGTCTTGACTATCAGTACCCAACATTATACATAAATCAATGGATTTTGATTGTGTTCTTTAATCGTTTCACAATATTTAATTGAAATCAAAGAATTTTAATCTTCAATTGTCATTCTTCACGCTTTTGTCTATGTCTATTAATATTAAATTAAAGTCACGTTCCTGAAATCCAATTGCAAACGTTGTGTTTTCTCTTGAATTTCCTTTTGTAAGGGACTAAGAAAGAAGGTTAATTTTTCTTTTCCTTCTTCATTCTCTTTCTATTGAGCTTGAGAGAATGGTGTGTAGACATCATGTTAGTTGAGTAATGCTATTTAGCACCATTGGCATTATTGTGACATTAAATGAGATGTACAATTAAATGAGTTGCTTAATTTCACATTTTATTGAACCTATCACATAGCACAACTTACACTGGTGTTATAGGATCAGTAGTACGAGATAACATTATTACATAACTATGTGCTATGTTCAGTAGCTACCCTTTGAAATCAAGGTTACTTCTGGTAAGATATATGTCAAATGATCGCGTACACTTAAAATAGAAACTTAGTTAATAAATAAATTTGAAAATAAAAATGTAAAAGGAAGTAAAGGTTGAAAACAATATAAAAATTTAAATTTTATCATCCAAAAATCTAAGTTATTCATTCTTGTTATATCCTTTTGTAATAGACTTAGGAATGAGAAAGTGTACACCATAATCAAAATCAAGAGTGATCATGAGAGAGAGATTGAACACTTTAACCTTAAGAACTTCTGTTTGAAGAAGGTATCCAGCAAGAGTTCTCTTTACTAATCACCACAATAAAATGAAGTAGTTAAGATGAAAAGTAGGGTGCTTTAATAAATGGGTAGAGCCATGCCTCATGTTAAGGATTTGGCAATGCATTTCTAAGATGAAACCATTAACACTGTTTGCCACATAGTGAACTGAGTTTACTTTAAACCTAGATTGAGAAGATGCCATATGGAATTTGGAAGGATAGAAAGTCTACCATCAAATACTTTCCAGTGTTTGGCAACAAGTGTCACATTTTGAGAGATGGAGAGAACTTAGGAATATTCGACTCTAAAAGTAATGAAGGAATATTTCTAGGGAACTCTAGGATTATTAAGGCTTATCATGTATAAAATTCTCGTACATAAGTAGTGACAAAATCCATAAATGTTGTTATTGATGATGCCTTGAGTGAGAACGAGCCATTAGGAAACTTGGAAGAAATATGTCAATTTAAGTGTTGATCCTGTCACTGAATCTATAGAACTCCAAGCCCAAAAATGTATAGATATTCCAACTAGGAACCATCATCTAGTGATAAGCCTAAACTTCCTAAGGAACCTTCATCTAGAGTTTAAGTCTAATCATCCTAAGGATAATATCATTGGGGATTTAGAAGAAGTTATAAGACTATGTAGGAGAGTTTTGAATAACTTGACGTTCAGTAGTTATGTATCCCAAATTGAGCCCCAAAAAATTGAAGAAGCCCTTAGCAATGAATGTTGGGTAAATGCAATGCATGAGAAGCTAATCAGTAGAAACAATGTTTGGTATTTGGTACACTGATGATCAAGGTAAACTAGAAATAAAGTTAAGTTACTTGCTCGAGGATACACATAGGTAGAAGGTGTAGACTTTGATGAGACATTTGTCCCTATAGCTTGTCTTAAATCTATTAGAATCCTACTTGTTGTAGCTTGTACCCTAGGTTTCAAGCTATATCAAATGTATGTCAAAAGTGTTTTCTTGAATAGAATACTTCAAAAAGAGATATGTGTTAAACAACTAAAAGGTCTTGTTGATCCTAAGTTTCTCCATTATATCTATAAGCTTAAAAAGAAATGATAGACTAATTGCTTTATCTCTTGGGATGTGCTTATCTCTTGGGGTGTGGTTCTTAAGAGATAGTGTAGATAGAATGTTGTTCATTAAACAAATGGAAGAAATCATTACCATAACATAAATTTATGTTGATGAAACCATCTTTGAATTTTCCATCGACTCTCTTGTTCATGAATTCACTGAATGCATAAAACAAACATTTGATATGAGTATGGTAGGAGACTTGAGTTTCTTTCTTACATTTCAGGTAAAGCAAATAGATGAGAGGTTATTAATTTCTTAATCAAATATGCTGATGACCTAGTAAAAGGATTTAGGTTAGATAGCAAGAAGAACACCAAAACACCCATGAGCATTAGTGTTAAGTTAGGTCAAGATCCTATTGAAAAAGTGTTAATCAAACACTGTATAGAAATATGTTAGGTAGTCTACTTTAACTTAATTCTAATCGACTTGACATAGCATTTAGTGTGGGAGTTCATATGAGATTTTAGGCTAAACCTAAGAAGTCCCATTAAGTGCCATGAGACGTATCATTCAATACGTTAATGGCACTATAGATCATGGAATCTTGTACTCACGATATTCAAATCTTGATCTAGCCTGCTATTTCGATATCAATTGGGCTACGGATGTTAATGATAGAAAAAGCACAACGAGAGGCTGTTTCAATGTTGGAACAAATCTAGTAGCTTGGATTTGAAGGAAACAAAATTTTATTTCTTTGTCCATGGCTGAAGTTAAATATTTAAGTACACAAAGTTGTTTTACTTAACTTCTTTAGATGACGCATATGTTAAGAGATTATACAGTTGAGTAGGTTACTGTGACTGTGTTTTATGATAAACAAGTGCCATAAATATTTTCAAAAATCTTGTTCATTCTTGAACCAAACATATAGATACTCACATCATTTTATTCGAGAGCTTGTGGAGAATTGTGTTGTAATAGTTGAGCATGTCTCTACAGAAAACCAATTAGGTGACTAGTTCACTAAATTTTTAGATGGTCTTCAGCTTGAATTCCTCAGGAAAGCTATTGGTGTCTGTGTACCTCTTTGAGTAGGTAATTAGGCGTATGTATCTATATTTTTCATGAAGTCTACATATCCAAGCATGCACTCTATCTTTTCTTTTTCTTTTTTCTTTTTTCCATTTTTTTGTGTGCATTATTATTATTATTATTATTTAAAAGTGACAAATATTATTGAAAATTGAAAAGAGTGTTTTTTAAGGCACTTTGTTTTGATTTTTGTTTTACTTGAACATGTTCATTGTGATCAAGCATAAGTAAAATTGATGAAAATGATGAAAATTTCCATTAATTTATTAAGGACTTGTACGGAGTACTTAGCACATGTTTCTTCATGTACAATCTACACTACTCACACAAAGTTTTTGTTCGCGATTCTCGATCGCTTCTATGAGATTTGTGATATTGATCATCGATGTAGCAAGTTGACTTTGGATATGAAATAAACTTTAACTATTCGGCCTAAACTCTTGTATACTCCCCATAAAAATGAGTATTGTTATTCAAAATAGTTGAGTTATTGTGATATATCTTATATTTTTCTTCTTAGCCTTTGTGACTCGAACAATTAAGTATGTTGGATATTTTAAGATCTGATGTCCTATAGTCATCTGACTTAAAAGTCATCAGTATGAAGTTCATTACATGAGTCATTATCCTTAATGAAGATAAGTATGTAAATAAAATTGAAAAAAGAAAAAAATAATGTACAAATGATCATGCATAAGGGAAGAAAGAAAAACTACATAGTATTAATATGAGATCTTTTGTTTAAAAAGTCTTAGAGCACTTGATTTGACTTTCATAATTTGAGAAATATATTTTCATTCACCAGTGATTCTTTGCAGCCCTTTCTTCACTAATATAAGGTATTGAATCTTACTTACAGCAAGTTAGTGGCACTTTACACAGTTGGGTTCTTATACAATTTACTCCATGTAGATCTAAAATAAAATGCGTGGAAAGTAGTTTGCTGCCTATTAATTATATATGTACAAGTAAACTATGCATGTTCAAGTTATCACATAATCTTGATTTGTGTGACAAGTTACTACATTTAAAAATTCATGAGAAAGTGTTATAATTCAAAAATTTTGAAAAGTATAGTTTTGAAATGAGTAATGCTATTCGTAGTCGCTTACTGCAGTAGTCACCCTACGTGGTATATACATGACATGTGATTATTTGATATATTAATGTGATAGTTTTTTTATTCATTAATGTATCAAATAATCACTTGTCATGTGTATGTTACATAGGGCGACTATTGCAGTGAGCGACTGCAAATAGCATTATTATTTTGAAATAGATAAAAACGTGCTATTTGTGTCACTTTTCTAGCTGCTAACTTAGCGTTGGGTTGTTGCTTGAGTGCCCAAAGCAGAGGCTTGGCGCTCAATTAGTGCATGCCTCTCGCCTGAGCGGCAGCTCGTGTTTTTGAATTAAACGCGCAGACCCTCGCATTTTCCTTTCCTTTCTTCCCTCATCTCACAAATTCATCATTCAACCCATCATACTAGTTCATTAAGGTCGATTTTCGTGAACATTAGTATCACATTCATCAACTCATCATCAATTTCATCCTAGTCAAGGTGAAATATCGAAAATCCATAATTTTTGAAAATTTTAGGGCTTTTTCAAAATTGTGCCTTCTTGCTCGAAATTCTTGAAATTCATGCATATTCATTTATGAGCTCAAGTACAGGATGATTGTATAAGAGTTATTGCACCACTTTGGAGAAAAAATTTCAAAAATTTTCCTTAGAACTTGAATTCTAGAGTGCTTCATGGATTTGCATATATTTTCTTCAATTTTTTGTAAAATTGATGGAGATTGGGATAGGATTAGATGTTGGAGTTATGGTATGAGGTTTGAATTGGTGATTTTGCCCGGTTTCATTAGGTTTGGCACTTCATTCATCCTTTTGACATACCATGTGTTCGATAAAATGTTCGTCTGATGTTTCTGTGTAAGTTTTCACATGTTTTTTTGTCAAAATACATCGAACACATAAACATATTTGGGTCATTTATTTACACTTTTGGATCTTTTGTATCAAAATTGAGGGGAATGTGTCTACCTTGCATGCATGTATCGGACCTCCCTACGTCACTTAGTTTCACCACTTAGTTACGTCATCTAGTTAGGTTCCTAGGTTAACTTGCATGTTTTTATCTTGATTTCATTCGTGTCAGGTGCATTGGGTACTTGTGTCTCGATTTACGTGCTTTTACCTCGTTTACCTTATTTTACTTTCATAACATACATTCACATATTATTCCACATCACTAGTTATCATCTTCTTGGTATACTTTTGTTGAAAATCATGACATAGATGCCCGTTGAAAAGCGAGGACTACAGGCTAGAACTCAGGTACTTCAACTTTGTACAATCGTTTGAGGTTTATTTCATCCGAGGCCCAGGAGTGAGTCATAGTTTTCCTCGTCTTCTCTAAGTTGAGCATGAGGTAACTCTTTCTGACCTTTACCCTGACATGGCTGCTATATTTATTTCCCATGGTAAGGAGCTATTACTTCATGATCTCACATCTCCTTCCCATTTTCTAGTTAGGGATTTTTATTCGAATATTTATGAGGTTGATAGGTCTCACTTTAGAGTCTTTCTGAGAGACCAGGTTTGAATATAAGTGCTGCTGTCATTTCTCGAATTATATGGATACCTTAGGTTACTTACTCAGTGTTTTCTTATATTATTCCTTTGAATGTTCTATCGAGTTCTCTTTTCATGTTGACCCTTTTTAATAGTCCTACAAATGGGGGTCAAGTCACAATTATTATTGGGTCTCTTCCAACCGACTACTAGATCTTGTTGCGCATTATGTGTCCAAATCTTTGGTTGGTGTCCCTTATATCCTCATTTCCTTAAGATAAGGCCAGGTTTCTTTCTATATGCTCTTCTACATGGTGAATCGATTGAACTGCCTTCTTTTGTCTATCATCACATCTTGCGTAAATTTCGCATAACTAGTAGGAAGATAGGTACGCCACACGCCTGTTTAATACAACATCTAGTGATGGAGCTCGGGGGTTACTTTTTCTGATAGGGTTTTAGAGCGTGTGTCTTGGCTTATTGGTTATATCACTATTTCCCAGAGTAGGTTCTGTATTCTATCTTCTTCAGTTCTTACTGATCCTATGATTACCTACTTTCTTTACCCACTCTGCCTTATGTTTCTGCTCATAACATTCCACCTACTTTTATTCCAGATATTCCATCCACTTCTACATTTGCTCCCATTCCTCTATCTACATCTGATCCCATCGACCATTCGATAGCTATTATGAGCCAGTTTTCATTGATCATCGAGCACCAGTCTCTATTTCTGGGTGATATGACTTTGCTACGGTCGTAGTCTGAGCGACGTACAATAGATTTTGCTTCACTTCAGACTAATGTTCACTCATTTCAAACAGGTGTTTGTTCACTTCAGAGACGTGTCTAGTGGATGTAATAACATTGAGACGGTGGAGATGATACAGAGGAGGACACTGATTAGTTGGTAGGTACCCCTTTGTCATTGTCACAAAAAGGATGAGTAGTGTTTAGGCTTAGAGTTTTAGGGCATTGTGTATTGATTTGAAGTTTTGGGATATGTTCAGATATTTTGTGTAGCTTTTTAAAGTTTTGATGTTTTAATGTAAACTTTTGTGGTTTGTTAGACATTAATATTGTATCTTAATCTAGTTAGCATGATATTTGTTTTTATCTATCTCAATTGTTGTATGCTATTTCGTTAACTGTTTTTACATACTTTTACACTTGGTATTTGAGTTATTGATTTAAATAAACAGGTGTGACAAGGAAAGCAAGTTTCAGTTGAGTCATTAAATCTTGGGTAGTTAGAAGTTGTTCTTTTTCATAATTTGTATTTGTAATATTTAGTTTTGTCACAAATGTAATTGGGGGAATTTGTTAGGTTTTATTGTTGTTAACAATTCTATTAACAAAATTAAAGTGATAAAATTCCTATAAAAGTCAAAGAGTCATTGGTAGTGGTAGTATAGGTCAATTAGGAGTCCAAGAGATCAAAGATGTAGTAAAGAGAGAAAATACCCGCAACACCGTTAGCTTGCTGGCTACTTAGCGCTTGAGCGGCGTGCTTATCTGAAAAACGTAGTTTGCGATTTTAAACAGTTTTTTCAATCTTGTACAATTGCAAACACTCCAAACTGTAAATATCCAAGGCCTACTTCGTCTTGAAGGGTGGTTGAACATATTTTCACAAAGAAGCATAGATTAAAAATCGAGTCGAAAACTAGGTGAACCGGATGGCAATTGAACTGGTCAAAGTCCAAGGTAAACCAACAGGTTTCAAAAATTAATCTTTGCAATCTTTGATAACCAAATATATGTATTTTCATCTCTGTGTTTATAATATATACGTTATGAATAAATCATTTGCTATTATCTCAAAGTATTTTTTAGAAAAATTACACTCCAACATTTATTAAATTTTTTAATATCAAATAACTATTTTATGAATTTATTATGTATGGATTCATTATTTATAGTTAAGATAAATCAAATACTTTGACCGAAGTATTTGGTTGATAACTAATAAAATATTTGTGCATAACAAAAAAGAGAATACTATAAATTTTATTACAAATTTTATAGCATACAAAATCATAAATTAAAATGTAAACATTAGTACTAATTAGTTTACCATATCATCATTTTCATTAGTTAACACATTTTATATTTGATAACAGTTTTATATCCCAAAGTCCGTTGAAATGGCGTATAACAATTATTTTTCCATCAAATTTTTCAAAAGTAAATAAATAAAAAGTGAGAAAAAATATTTCTTCCTCATTTAAAAGCATGAAAATAAAATATTTCAAGAACGAGACATACTTAAAGATAAGAATTTGACGAACAAAGTTAAGAAGATAATTACTACAATGAGCAAAGATTGAAAAATTTAATTATAATTAAAATGTGATGTATTAAATAAAATTTGTAGTGGCAATATAATCATACAAAAGTAAAAGAAGTCACAGTAAAAGAATACTCAAATCACTTTTGCTTTCTGTTTGTGATAAAGGATGGTAAAGTTCTTTTGAAATTGGGTTGCATCTTAGTTGAGAGAGAGAGAGAGAAGAAATGGAGAGCATGATAAACTATGTCCATGAGAAGTTAAAGAAACTTGGAGCAGAGCGTTTAATGGATAATGCGCCGGTGAAATTGAAGGGAATCGGAGCAGTTACCGGCCTGATGACAAATTTTCAGGAGAAAATAAAGAAAACAGGGGCAGATAGCATGATGCAGACGAAATTAAAGGAAATGGGAGCAGTTTCTGTTTCCCTGATGGAAAATTTACTAGAAAAGTTGAACAAAACAACAGATCAATACGAAGTGGTGAACTATTTGCAGAAGAAATTTCGTTGGGAGTCGAAAAACATGACAGATAAAGCGAAATTGAAGGGAATCGGTGCAGTTACCGGCCTGATGACAAATTTTCAGGAGAAAATAAAGAAAACAGGAGCAGATAGCATGATGCAGATGAAATTAAAGGGAATGGAAGCAGTTCCTGTTTCCCAGATGAAAGATGTACAAGAAAAGGTGAACAAAACGACAGATCAATCCGAAGTGGTGAACCATTTGAAGAATAAATTCAGTTCGGAGGTGAGAAATATGACAGATAACGTGAAAATAGATACCAAAAAATCACGTCTCAACATTGATCCAGAGTTTATCATGATATTCATAGCTGTGTTGGTCCTTCTTGTGTTTCTCTTGGGCTGCATCTACTGCTTCTGCAGGGGGACAGCAGGCAAGACGATGAAAGCCCCAGGAAGGAAGAGCACCAGGATTTCCAGGCATAAATTTGAAAGCAATTCAAGATCATACTTCAGTGAATTATGTGGTGAGAAGAACGAATGAATTATCGTAGATTTAGTATATTTTCATTCTATTCTGGAGTGTTTTATGTTTTTATGGGCTGTCGAAAAAATCCATGGGTGGAAATAGTAATACGAACTCGGGTAGTCGGGTTGATGTTCAGAAATTTATGGCTTTGATCATCATGTTATTAATGTTCTGGTTTTCTTGCTTCTGTTCTGTGCATATATTATTTACACACGCAGTTCTGTTTGGCAGCCCTGAGTATTTGATTTAACAGAAGGGTAAAACATTCGATCAAAGAGAAATATTTGGTCCAAGTTCGATATCCTAATAAGATAATTTTGCATATGGACTCGTAACTTTTCCAAATTTTTACCAAATATTCTCAAAAAACTCACTTTTCACAAAATCTACATCAAAGGCCATAACCCTCCTGTAACTTGGGCAGGAACTCTCATTTGAGACCACGAATGCCTAATTATGGAAAGTTGAGGACAAATATGAAGAAATAATTGAAATTGGGTAGACAAGTGCAAAAGGGGCAGATGTCGGGGATGACGACTATAATTTACTCTAAACAAATCTCATTGGCCATGTCATGATTTTAGGCAAATTGTTGGTGGAAGATAGTTAATACTTCCGTTCCTAACCTTTCAGTCGGAAAGAAGTACAAAGCATGACAGCAAGAATGGGTCTTGGCATAAAGTGAAGGGGTAATGTAGTTCAATCTCGTTCATAAGAGTGCATGTTCCTTATTAGAACTCAATTAAAAAGAAGAAGAAGAAGAATCCCAAATGACTAACACAAGTGGTATTAGTAGTGTCCAGCAGTGACATGACGGTTTTCTCACACCCTCTTTATATATGTGGTGAAATTCAATATCATTATTGGACTTCTATGATTTGAGAGATGGTCGTGACTCGAGAATCTGAATTTAAAGCATTAGTTACCGGCATAACATGACTCTTTCTCAGCAAGTTCCAAACATAAGCATACTTGTAACAAAGATGCTTCACTAAATAGTGGTCTATGTTCGATCTGGTACTCGTCAATTCTCAATAAAACTAAATCTTGTTCCATGGTTCATTTTTCAAGTATTAACTTTCATGCACGTAACAAACACAAGTTTTGAACCCTTTTTATTGGTAGGTAGGGAGAGGCAATAACTTTATTCAAAAAAAAAATCTTATGTTTCGGATCAAAGCATAATTGGGAGTTGTTTATAATCTATTTAAATTATAAATAGTAGAAATGTTTGGTGAATGAATGGGGTAGTATTTGTGAATACCAAGAACTATGTGGATAAAAAGTGATTTGATCGACTATAAACAAGAAGCAAACAAGGGCTAAGATATGTAATTTTCATTTCTTATTTAAGACTGGACTAGGCTGGTAGAGTCAATAAACTCATTTCATTAAATGACAAGGTGTATGCAGGGGCTAGTATACATGCCAATCACTATATATCAAGCAGAATTTTCAGCTTTTAGAAGAGATTTCAAGCAACGATTATAAAAAATAGAAAGAAATTAAGTTATCTGCAGTTTTTCTTGGTGATTTCACGTCTCTCTTCAGTAGATACTCAAGTTCTTAAAAATTTATAAGTTTCACGTCATTGTATCAATTACATAGATAACAAGCTAAATAGTCAGAGCCAAACTTTCTGATTATTTTCAACAAGAAGAAAATAGGATGGCTTATGTTCTACAACTTCGCGTACTACACTGTACATTTTAAGACATAGGAAAGAATAAATATGGGTACCATATACCATAAAGGAATGCTCATCATTAAAGCAATTCAGAGGCTAATAGTTTCTTAAGAATAGCATACTCAAAGATTACATGTTCAGGCTCAGGTACAAGAATGGATGACTAAGTTACAGAAAGGGTGATTTACTGTCAACTTACGAGCAAAACTAAATAGCCAAAGGAGTTTATTTTTTGAGAATCTAAATGCATACAACTTATGGACAGTAGTTTACCCAGTGATCATCGTTCCAGCCCCTTCATCAGTGAGAATCTCAAGAAGTAGTGAATGCTCCAGCCGCCCATCTATAATACTAGCTGTCCTAACACCTTGAGCCAGGGACCTCACACAGCAGTTCACCTTGGGGATCATCCCAGCTGCAATCGTCCCGTCCAACACCATCTTCTTCACCCCTTTGATATCAATCTCCTTTACCAAGCTCCCTGGATCATCACGATCCTCAAGTATCCCCGCCACGTCTGTCAGTAGAATCAACTTCTCCGCACCCAAAGCTGCTGCAAGCTCGCCAGCTGCAGTGTCTGCATTAATATTATATGCCTTCCCCGTTGCATCAGCTGCTACAGAGGCAATCACTGGTATATGGTTATTATCCACAAGCGGCAGGATTATAGAGGGGTCAACACTGGCAATGTCCCCCACAAACCCAAGCTGTGCAGCATTGGGAGATGGCCGGGCAGTTAAAATCCGACCATCAATTCCAGATAAGCCGACTGCAGTTGCACCAGCTTTATTGATCAAAGCAACGAGATTTTTATTCACTTTACCAACCAACACCATGGACACAATTTCCATAGTGGAGGCATCGGTGACTCTAAGGCCATTGAGGAAATTGGGCTTGATGCTGAGTTTTCCCAGCCACTGGTTGATCTCTGGCCCACCACCATGCACAAAGACAATGCGAAGGCCAACACATGAGAGGAGGACAATGTCAGCAATTACAGAAGCCAGGAGTGCCTCGGACTTCATTGCAGCTCCTCCATATTTAACTACTATAGTCTTGCCACGGAATTTCTGAATAAAGGGTAGTGCTTCAGATAAAATCTTGACCCGAGTTTGAGCTGGGGTGGATTGGGTATCTATTTCCGGGGCAATTACCGATTCTGAAGATGAACTGAGACATGTGATTTTGCTTTTTCCAATGCGTTTCGTGACCGGAACGAAGTTCTTGAATGAAATTGAAAAATCATCAGAGATTTTTGAAGAGGTCGACAGAGGAGAAATCAGAGGAAGAGTTTTAGCAGCCAACATTGTTTATTGAAGGCTTTGAGAAAAAGGGCCTGCGCAAATTGAAAATTAATATACTTTCTATTTAATTATTTGCAAATAAAATCAATCAAAATTCTATAATCAAGAAATCAATTCACCGAATAATGAGCAAATCAATTGAAAAGTATTTCGAATGAATAATTCTCAACAACTCACAAATTTATTTCTGCTCATACAGTTCAGATATTCATACATACAAATATATAGAGGGGGGCAGAGTACCTGAAGGGCAACCCTGCGGTGGAGGTGGAGATGGCCCCGACGCCGAAACCCTACGTACAGGTGATTTATTGTGGAAAAAATCAAATTGAGGGTCCCCATGTTATTGAAAATATATCAAGTCGGTCTTCCCATTTTAAATTCTAGCAGCTGGGTCTTTAAACTTTCCCCTTTACTTTGTAGCTATATATATGCAGATTATGCGTGTTAACCTTGGTTTCTGCATGGATTACGTGGCCAATAGATCTCGACTTCACTCACATCCATGCATTCTATTTTATGTATACATGGACAAATCATTAGAAACACGTGGATTTTTCTAGAGATAGATGAGACGTTCGCAAGCGCTTTGATAATGAAGGAAGTCAACTTGCATAAATATATTTGGGCGTGAAAGATGTGAACCACAATTGTGTTCAGGAGCCAAGGGTCTTAAGAGAGTAAAATGGGATAGAGTAATATTACTATTGAATAAGTAAAATTACTCTACCTTTAAATGATATTAAGGCCTTGTTTGATTGTACCAAGTTTTTCATGGAAAACAGAAAATTAATTCCATTTTCCATCTTTTAGGGTGTTTGATAGGTTTTTTTCCAAGGAATTTGCTTTCTTGTTTTTCTCGGGAACTAACAATTTTCCATGTTTTCATGGAATTCGAATTCTCACTACATTGGTGAGAATTCAATTCGAATTCCAACCACTGTAGCCATATTTTCTTTCTTTTTTTTTTTACGTGGGCAATGGAAACAAATTTTAAGAATTATTCTAAAAAAATATTTCCTTTTAATTGAAAATTTTCATGTAAAATAAAGCCAAACAAATACCAAAAGATAGACGTTTTTCTTGAATTTCTTGAATTATTTTATTTTATATATATATTTTTTGCAATGAAAACAAATTTCATTTCCAATACCAGTAAAATATATCCCTTTAATTGACAATTTTCATACAAAACAAAGTCAAATGAACCTTAAAAGACACTTTTATTTCAACATTTTTCACGT